TTCTCCGGTAAAATCTTCGTAAAAGGATCAGCTAGGTTGTCTTCTGATGCAATCTTAGTGATCTCAACTTCTCCTGTTGCCACAATATCTCTGATAAGGTGGTATTTGCGCTCTATGTGTTTGCTTGCTCTGTGGGCTCGTGGTTCCCTTGAGTTTGCTACTGCACCACTGTTATCACAGTACACGGTAATAACACGTGGCAAACTCAGAATCACCTCTAAGTCCACCAAGAAGTTTCTAAGTCAAACTGCCTCTTTCGCTGCCTCAGAGGTTGCGATGTACTCGGCTTCCATAGTGGAGTCTGCTACGCACTTCTGCTTAGCACTCCTCCATGAAATGGCTCCACCTCCCAATCTGACTGAAAATCAGAATCGCTGTAACCCAGCGGAAATCCTGAGGTTGAGTTACTCTCGTCCACCCATAGTGGAATCCTGAGGTTGAGTTACTCTCGTCCCTATCTGACTGAAAATCAGAATCGCTGTAACCCAGCGGAAACAAACTGTCTGCACGATAAACTAACATGTACTCCTTAGTCCTTCGCAGGTACTTGAATATATGTTTCACCGCAGCCCAATGTTCCCTTCCTGGATTATTTTGATATCTCGCTACCATGCCAACGGCGTAGCTAATATCAGGCCTAGTGCATGCCATTGCATACATGAGACTTCCTACTGCCGAAGCATAAGGAATTGTCTTCATGTCCTCTATCTCCTCAGTCGTCTTAGTGTTGGTGCTATATACTTAAGCTTTGCTTTAGTGGATATTACACTTGTTATTTCTTGATGGATGAGAATTATGTTTGGTTAAATAAGTTCCATGTTCTGTTGTTTTGCATGTAGATAAGTGGGTCGTCATCGGGCGTACCAAAGATCACTATATCAGTTACTTGCGAAACAAGAATCATTGGTTCACATCCTAGATGGAATTGAACAAACCATCGGAACGGTTGTAGTGTCAACCGTACGGTTTGTCTTGACCGATTAGTTGCACTAGTACATTTATGTATTGAACAGGATTCCAGAGAGGGATGTTCATTTTATACTGATCGTCGTAAACGAACTAGGCCTCAGTTAATTATTGCGTGCTCTTAACCCGTAAGATATTAAATAGGCATGTGCACATAATTGTTGTTGCTGTGATTCTGGGTGAGATCCAAATCGGGTCGACATACTTAATGAATTGGGTAATGACATTATATGTTCGATGTGCTATTAGGATATTTACGGTCACCATGTGCGTTAGTCTGATGATGTCTCCGAAGTGAGTTCATGAAGGAATATTATGCTAAACCCTGCAGGTGGATTTGTTCCGGCATAATATGAATGCTATGAGCGAGCGCTAGCTTCGGTAATATAATATATTAATTAATTCTTAATTATTAGTGATCGAATGTAACAAATGACCAAAATGTGCTTCTTAATCAAGAATTGAAAAAACAAATGATATTATATTATCGAAGCACATTTGATCACTAATAATCAAGAATTAATTAATATATTATATTACC